TTAATATGATGTTCAATTCTTTTAAAATGTGATCATCTATTGTTTTAAAACCTATTTGGTTGTTTTTGCTTGTTTGTTTGTTCGTTTAATACTGTAAGCCACTTTGGATCCTTTTTAGGAGAAAGGTGGGACAAAAATATTTTTAAATAAATAAAGAATAAACAAGATTGTTATGGGATGCAATATTGGGGTAAGAGAGAAGGCAGCATTTGGAATTAGAGGTCAGAATTGTGCTGTGGAGGGAGAGACCAGACTGGGCAGTGCATGGGAGTTCCCCATAGCCTTTAATGGAACTTATGGTATTCTAGAATCAAGATTTTGTCAGCTAAAGTCTTGTCTCTGGTTCTTCTATGATACCATGCATTATGGAAGAATGTTTCACATGCTGCAAAAAAAGAGGCATTCCATATAAATGATAACTTCACTCTCTGTACAGTGGTGCCTCGCTTAACAACGATAACTCGTTCCAGGAAAATCGCTGTTAAGCGAAAACATCGTAAAGCGAAATTAAAAAGCCCATTGAAACGCATTGAAAACCATTCAATGCGTTCCAATGGGCTAAAAACTCACAGTCCAGTGAAGATCCTCCATATGGTGGCCATTTTCAGTGCTTGTATAGCGAGGAATCTGTCCCTAACCACAGCGGGGAGCCATTTTAAGCACCAGGCGGCCATTTTGAAAACCAGACGATCAGCAGTTTTTGATCATCGTAAAGCGAAAATCAGTTCCCGAAGCAGGAAACCAGTCAAAAGCGAAAATCGGTTCCCGAAGCAGGAAATCAGTCATCACTAAGCGAAATTCCCCCATTTGGACCATCATTTTGCGATCGCAATTGCGATCACAAAAACATCATCGTAAAGTGGATTCATCGTAATGTGGGGCAATCGTTAAGCGGGCCACGACTGTATGTTAACTAAAATGTAGCATTTTACAAGGGTTCTTGTCTCCTGGATCTAAATGACTACGTTACTGCATCCTACAATGCTTTACAACTGACTTGCTAATGGTGCTTTTTAGTATGCACCCTTGTTTTCTAAATCAAAAATTTATTTATTTATTTATTTAACTTATATGCCACCCACACTACCCAAAGGTCTCTGAGCAGCTTACAATTTAAATAGTAAAAAGATAAAAAGTGCTCTAAAAATTGCCATCAGGACCCAAAGTTGATATTATTTCAATTAAAAACCTTCTGGAACAAGGAAAATTTTGACCTGGCGCCGAAATGTCATCAACGTTGGCGCCAGACAAATCTTCCTCGGGAGGGCGTTCCATAGTCTGGGGGCGGCTGCCAACAAGGTCTTTAGTCTACAAGCCATCCCTCTTATCTCCTTAAGGGACAGCTCTTTTAAAAGGGCCCCCTGGGTAGATCTTAATTGCCAAGTAGGTTCATATGGAAGGAAGTGGTCCTTCATGTCTCCAGGGCTCAAGCCGTTTAGGGCGTTATATGTCAAAACAAGCACTTTGAATTGGGCCCAGGCAGCAACTGGTAACCAATGTAATTTGAACAGAATTGGCCTGATGTGTTCCCTAGCGGCCCCACCACTCACCAGCTGTGCAGCTCGATTGTTGGCTGTTTTGCATCAGAATAAATGCTGTAATGCTGAGTTATTTGTGTGCTTGGATCTACATGTAATATAGTATATTAAAATATACTTGGATGGTGTTTATAACATTTATTTGATGGTAAGATTTCTAGTAGAGGTGGTAAAATATGGCAGCTTATTTTACCTCCAAAAGTACAGTCCCATAGTTGACTTCAAGTCATTGCTGATTTAGAGTGCTTTAGAGCAGTGGGTCTTCACCTTGGGTTCC